TGGTAAACATGGTAAACATATGTGCACCCAACATAGGAGCACCTAAATATATTTTTTAAATCTTGGTGGACATTAATGGGGGGGGTTGATAGTAAGCAATACAGTCATAGTAGGGGATTTTAGCAACCCACTGTTATCATTGTATAGATCATCCAGACAAAAAATAAACAAGAAGCCCTGGCTGCGTAGTTGAGTTGCTTAAAGTGGCATCCCCATATACCACAGTTTCCGGTTCAATCCTCTGCTGGTATACCAAGGTTGCAGGTTCAATCCCCTGTGAGGGCACATTGTAGAATCAACCAGTGAATGCATAGATGGATGGAACAGGAGATCGATGTTTCCCTGTCTCTCCCTTTCTCTCCCTTTCTCTCTCTCTCTCTCTCTCTCTCTCTCTCTCTCTCTCTCTCTCTATATATATATATATATATATATATATATATATATATATATATATCCTCTTCCATTTCCCCCTCAAATATTTTTTTTTAATCTACAAGACAACAGCGACCTTAAATAACGCATTGGATTGGATTGTTTAAATTGATATTTTCAGAACATTTCATCCCAAAGCAGCAGGATATACATTCTTCTCAAGTGCACATGGGATATTATCAAAGATAGACCACATGTTAGGACACAAAATTAGTCTTAAAATTTTCAAGAAGATTGAAATCATATCAAGCATATCCTCTGACCACAATGATATAAAACTAGAAACCAATTACCATAAAAAAAAGACTGACTAGCATGTTATTAAATAATGAATGGGTTAACAATGAGATCAAGGAAGAGATAAAAAAAATTATTGGAAACAAATGAAAATGAGCACACCAACAACCCAAAATCCATGGAACACATCAAAAGCAGGCCTGACAGGGAAGTTCATAGCATTACAGGCCTTCCTCAAGAAGCAAGAAAAATAAACAATCTAACTGTACACCTAAAAGAACTAGAAAAAGAACAATATGTGAAGCCCAGAGTAAGTACAAGGAAGAAAATAATAAAGATCGGAGCAGAAACAAATGATGCAGAAACCTAAAAAAAAAATCACTGAAGCTAAGAGCTCGTTATTTGAAAAGGTAAAAGGTAAATAAGATTGATGAACCCTTAACCAGACTCATCAAGATATAAAGAGAGAGAACCCAAATAAATAAAATCAGAAATGAAAGGGGAGGTATAAAAACAACATCACAGAAATACAAAGATTGTAAAAAAAAATACTATGAATAATTATATGCTAATAAATTGGACAACCTGTGTGAAATAGACATATACCTAGAAAAATACCAAAATATAATCTTCCAAAACTGAATCAGGAAGAATCAGAAAACCTGATAGACTGGTCTCAGCTAATGAAATTGAAGCAGTGAACAGAAGTTCTGACCAGATGCCTTCACAGACAAATTTTACTAAACATTTAAAGAAGAATTAACACCTATTCTTCTCAAATTATTCTACAAATTTCAAGAGGATGGAAGACTTCCAGGCTCTTTTTACAAAGCCAGCCAGCATTGTTCTAATTCCAAAACCAGATAAAGACACTACGAAGAAAGAAAAGTATAGGCTAATATCTCTCATGCACATAGATGCTAAAATTCTCAAAAAATATTAGCAGCCTGGATCCAGCAACACATTAAAAAGATCACACACTCTGATGAAGTGGCATTTATTCCAATAAGGCAAGGTTGGTACAATATTTGCAGATCAATAAATGTGATACATCACACAAAGAAAATGAAGGACAAAAATCACATGATCAGATCAATAGATGAGAAAAAGCATTTGATAAAACCCAACACCCATTTACGATAAAATGCTTAGCAAAGTGGGAATGGAGGGAACTAACATAATAAAGGCCATATATGACAAACCTACAGCCAACATAATGCCCAGATCGCAGCTTGACCCCTAGTAATCATTGAGGGAGGCAGCCAATCAATGATTTCCTCTCATCATTGATGTTTCTATCTCTCTCCCTTTCCTTTCCGCTCTGAAATGGATAAAAGCTTAAATGTAAATCATGAAACTATAAAAATTCAAATAAAAATAGGCAGTAAAATCGCAGACATCTCTGGTAGCATATTTTTACCAATATATCTCCTAGGCAAGGAAAACAAGGGGGAAAATGGGACTTCATCAAACTAAAAAGCTTTGCATAGAAAAAACAAACAGACATCAATAAAATGAAAAGGGAACTCATTGGATGGGAGATCATAAGAACATATTTGACAGTGATACATTTGGTAAGGGTTTAATTTTTAAAATATATAAAGAACTTAAAGTATTCAATATCAAGAAGATAAACAATTCAATTTTAAAAATGGGCAAAGGACCTGGATAAGCATGTCTCCAAAGAGGACATATAAAAAATGCTCAACATCACTAATCACACCTGCCAGAATGAGATGTCACTACAATGAGATATCAGCTCACACCTGTCAGAATGGCTACCATCAACAAATCAACAAACAACAAGTGCTGGTGAGGATGTGGAGAAAAGGATACGCTAGTGAAGGAATGCAGACTGGTGCAGCCACTGTGGAGAACAGTATGGCGTTTCCTCAAAAAATTAAAAATGGAACTTCCTTTTGAGCCAGCAATTTCACTTCTGGGAATATATTCTAAGAAACCCAAAACACTAATTCAAAAGAATATATGCACCCCTATGTTCACTGAAGCATTATTTATAATTAGTAGCCCTGTGCATGAATCCGTAGGCCTGTAGTTCTCTGTGCCCTCAGTAGCTCTTTACCCACTGCCCCACCATCCTGTAACTCCCCCCACCCCCTCCCCCACCTCCTCATAGCTTGCTTCCCTGCCCTCTCCTTTAGCTCTCTGCTGCCTGCTTGTAGCCAGTAGCTCACAGTTACCCTCCTATAGCTCTCTGCCTGCTTCCCCCACCTCCTGTAGCTCCCTTCCCCGCCAACCCCTATAGCTTGCTGCTCTGCCCTCTCCTGTAGCTCTCCAAGGCCTACTTGTAGCTCGCTGCCCCACTCTCCTGCTGATCCGTGATCCTGTAGTTACACAGTCGGTATGCTTCATGGCGTAACGACCATTTGCATATTACATCTTTATTATATAGGATAGCCAAGACCTGGAAACAATGCCCATCATTAGACTGTTGGATAAAGAAGCTGTGGTAATTTACACATGGAATACTATGTGGCCATAAAAAAGAATAAAATCTCATCTTTTTCAACAGGATATATGGACCCGGAGATTATTATGCTAAGTGAAATAAGCCAGTCAAAAATACAAGTGCCATATTATTTCACTCATATGTAGAATCTAATGAACAAAATAAACTGACAAAATGGAAAGAGAGACATTGATACATGAATGGACTGACAGCTGAGGGAGAAGGGTTGGAGGACTGAATGAAAGAGGGTGAAGGAATAAGCAAAAAAAAAAAAAAAATGTATACATAATACCTAGACAGACAACAGTGTGGTGATAGCCAGAGAGAAAAGGGGTGTGGGGGAGCCAGACCTGAGCAAAAAGTGGAATAATGGGGATGGAAATGAACTTTGCTTGGGGCAATGGTCACAAGATTCAGTGTGCATACTAAGTTTTGTCTAGTTGTATACTTGAAACCTGCCTATATGGTTTTGTGAACCAATATCATCCCTATAAATTCAATTTAACAAATAAAATATAAAATATTTAACACCCAAGAGCCATAGTCATTGGATGTGTCTGTGTTCCCCTGAATCATTTCCTCACTTCACCTCTGTCTGTCCATTGTGACAATGCAGGGATGGGCTGAGGGAACAAATTGCTCTTGTTAGAGCCTTGGGCAGTAGTGGTAGAGACGGGTTGGCAAGTTAAGTGGAGTATTTGGGTGGCAAAATAAAAAAAATACAGTGCAGCTTGTCCTTTATTACATAAAGCATGGAAGCCAGCCGGATTGGAATTCAAGGCCTGCTCTCTATCACTTGCTCCCGGTCACTCTGAGCCTTGTTTTCCTTCTTAAAATGGGGATGTGTCACTTGCGGCTTTGTGAAAGGCTTATAGATAAAATAAGTCCTGTGTCTTTGACATAGCCGGTGGTTAATAAATGGTCGCTATTATCATCAACTCTAAACCCTGTCTGTACTTCTTCCTAAGTTAGGGTGGAATTTTTGCACAGAAGAGGAAAAGGTGAGAAGTGAGTTAGTAGCTCAACCACTGTTGCTTTTGGCATCTGGACCTTTTTTTCTATTCCCACCTCAGACCTTAGGTGCCACTTGAGCAGCTGAATATAGTAATGTTCATAGGGTTAATGTACAATAATTGCTAAATCTGACTGCAATGTTTTATAAAGTTCTAGAGACTACCAGTAACATCCTAAAAATATCCCTGTTGAAACTGGTGTTACTAGAGCCTCCTGGAAGGATGTGGTCACTAAGGTATAAATCTATTACCATGAATTTTAAGCCCTTGGGCCTTCTAGAATCTATGCCCACTGGCCTGGAGATCTCTTTCAAATACCTTAAAACTTGTAAAGGAACCAAATAGAAACATAACAATGCTTCTGATAAGTTTAGCATATACTTAAATTTCTAGGCAATTTAAGGGATCTTGTATTTTTGTTAGCTTGTTTGTTCTGTTCTTATATATAATCATAATTTCTGGCTGAAATTCAACCCTATCCATACTTAGCAGCAGGAAAACTAATACTATTTAGTAAGAAAAGGGAGTGGTCTGAAACTATGATTAAGAAAAATAAGGCACTTTACCTGAACAAATTTCAAATGGATCCATTTAAAATGAAATCTAAATGGCACTTAACTGGTTGGCAAATTGGGACCTATTTATCTCAGGAAAAATGACTCAAGTCTTAATTTATCCCTAAAATTGGCTTTATTATTACATTTAATTACACTAGAAGCTTGTTAAAGACTTGTAGGTTCTCTCTATCCCTTTAAACTGCACTTTGTACAGACCATAATTGAATATCGGAAAGAAGAACTCGATTTCCAAAGAAATATGTTTCTAATATTTTTCTCTTTTCATTGCAGAAATTGAAACAAGTTGAAGAAACAAAAGAGGATCCTGAGAATAGATTATCTAAAATTTCCCTGGAGTCGTTCAATAAATACAACAGCAATACTGTGATTTTATTAGAAAAAGAGAAGAACTCTCCGAACAAGGTTGAAGGACGAAAGGAAGAAAAAGAAAAAAATGAGGAGGCCTCTTTGAGTAGCTCAGATCGGCCTGGGGTAGACAATTTGGAATCTTTGAGTGATTCTTTGTATGATAGCTTCTCTTCCTGTGCGAGTCAGGGTTCGAATGATGCATAAAGGACTTTTCCCCCCTGAGTGAGCTGGAAATGGAGCACCTCAGAAACAGGGGTTGGGAGGGGCAGGCAGAGATGACAATAATAAACTATTACCACACCAGCGCCTGTGCTTTCAGGCTCACAGCAAGGGACCCACTGGAGCTTTCTTCTCTGACAGGGCAATAAAGACAGACTCCATGTGTTGTGTTTCCTAAGGATTAAAAGTAAACACACCCACAATACAGAAGTCTTAATTTTGCACTTTTTAAAATACTTTGTACAGAAGTTGTAAATTTTTTTGGAAAAGAAATTATATTTGTAGGAAAAAAGAAAGCAATTAGTTAAATCAGTGCCATGCTCTTGAAATGATGTACTAAGTCTTTTAGAAGCGGATGATAATATATTTTTAAGATTCCAACTAAAGTTTTTGTCCAGTTCATCTTCTTGTGCTTAAATTGTTTGTGGGTTCACTCCGAAAACCTAAAACAGGGCCTGCAAAAACAAAACACAAAACACAAAACTAACAAACAAAACAACAACAGAGGCTCATTATCATCTCCAAATCCCAATCTTGATTTGATATAAACTTTAATTCTAGTGTAATTTCAAAATTGATGCCAGAACTATGGAGGCTTAGTAATGAGTATAATTCCGCTCCTACTGAGAAATGTAAAGAGAATTGAAGTGTGACACTGATCCCTGGGGATGCGTATCAGAAGTGACCTGATTCTATTTTCAATAGCAGATCTCCTTCCCAGACATTTCCTTCCACCTCCTCTACTTAGTCCTTCGCTATGATTCGGGACACTTTTGTTGATTTTTATTTTCCTACTCTTTTTATTAAAATCTGGGCAATTTAGAGGGAAAGCAAATTTCTATTTACAATGTTCACTTTTTAAAAAAAAATTTTAACGGTTGGTGCTATGAAAAATTCTTACTTTTTAATATCCCTTTTTTCTACAAAGTGTTTATATGTAAGGATAAATTCTATTTTAAAGGTTATGTGTATATTTTCTAGATGTGAACTATTTATAATGGTTTTTGTACAGGAGCTTGTAAACTAGGCATAATAGAAATATTTTTTAGACTCTGTATAGTTACTTCAGTACACACCTGTTTCTTTAAAGACTGTTGTATGATCAGTGTTATTTGGTAAATTTGTGCAATTTGTTATATTTGGATTTAAATGAACATTATGTAACGTGTCGTCGTCTTTCAGACCTTTAAAAATTCTTTTGATTCATTTCTGAATAAAAGTCATATCACAATCCAACCCGTGAAAGCTTAGAGGAACTTGTGCAAAGAGCCTCTGGCCTGGTTTAGTTGTTGGAATCTCACACGTGCTCCAAGGAGGAACTGGCTCAGGGAATAAATAAGCCGGCCCTCTTGCTCCGGAGACAGTAATTCAGTCACTTGTCAGATCCGGGTCTGCCTGCCAGGAAAGGAGCAATGGTCGAAGCATTTCCCTCTCCCTAAGCGGTTAACCGGCTAGAAGGGAAAGGAAGAGGGGGTGCAGAAGGCCAGGAGACTTGGGGAGATGGGGCTGCTCTGCAGAGGAAGTACCAGGAAGTCCTCGCAGCCTTTTCCAGCCCGCTCTGCTGGCGGGATGGGGAAGTGACAGATCTGCAGGAGCTCCTCCGCGAGGCGGCCGAGAAGGTGAAGAGCGGCAATGCCTCCGAAACTATTTCCACAGAAAGGGGTGCTCCCCGGGGATCTGGGGGGAGGGGGAGGGCGGGTGGGAACTGCGGGATTGGGGGCGGGGGCACCGAGGCTCTCTGGCAGGCTGGCGAGGCAGCGGACTCCCGTGCCACCTGCTGCCAGGCTCTGCGGCGGGAGGCGGAGTGGCCGGAGCGGCCCGCGGCTTCCCGGCGGGTCTCTAGGTGGGTCCCCGGAGCCGGAGAGGAAGGATGGGGGGAGAGAGGGGAGCGGGGAGGAGGCAGAGCAGCGGGACCCAGTGCGAGTGCGGGGCCGGGGAGGAGCGGAAGCGGGGCGGACGCGGGAGCGTATTCCAATGGCCCACGGATGTGAGAGCAGGAGGACGCCTCCCGGCCCTTGGGGAGAAGGAGATGGAGCCATCCCCTCTCCGTTCCAATCTGCTGTCTATGGGAGGACTCGGCGGCGGTCCGGGCGGTGCTCTCCAGGGCAGTCTCTCCACCCCCGCCCGCGGGGCGCGGCGGCAGAGGAAGGGGGGTGGGGGGCTGCCTGGAGCTGGGTGCCGGTCAGGGCCGGGCCCGCCACCCCCGCCCACCGTCCGCAGCTGCAGCCGAGCCCGGCGAGGACGGGGCTGCTCCGGGGAAGGAGGCGCAGCTGCGCCCATCAGCGGGGCGGCGGCAGGTGTGAACTTTGCGGGCCCGGAGCGCGCTCCCGCCCCGCTGGGAGGACGGACCCGCCGGCGGGAGCCCGCCAGCCGCCGGCACCGGCCAGCCCGGGAGCGCAGGGGTCCCTGGGGGAGCGCAGTCTGCCGACCCCATCTAGCAGGTCCCACCTCGCAGGACCCGCAGTCCGCGCCTGGCCGGTCCCTGGCGCACCTGCTGCGCCTCCTCTCGCTTCCCTCATCCCCCCTCTCCCTCCATCACCTCGGAAAACTGCTCGCTTTCCCGCGGCGCCCCTGTCCGCGGGGGGTGCGGGGGCTGGCGAGGAATGGGAAGGGGGTGGGGACTCGGAGAGACAGTCCCAGCCTTCCCCGCCCGCCACCCCCACCCCAATCGGCCGCCGTCACGTGGTGCCGGAGTGGGCGGCGAGGAGAGAGGCTGGACTTTTCGGGTGCTGCTCCGCCAGTAGTTCTCCGTCTCCCCGCCAACTCCGCACGCAGCGAGCGCGGCCCGGAGCGAGCCCCGCGCGGGCGGGCGATGCGGGCGCCGCTGGCGGCACCTGCGGCTCCTCTCGGCGGCGACGGGCGCCTCGGCGACAGCAGCGCGGGCCCCCGCAGCCCCGGCAGCCCCCGCCGCCTCCGAGGCACCCGCCCGCTCCCGGCCCCGCGGCTCCGGGAGGATGTGGATCCTCGGCGTCGCAGCTACGTTTTGCGGGTGGTTCTTGCTTCAAGGTAAGAGGGAGGGCCGGCCGCCCAGCCCCGGCGCCCCGGCGCCCCGGGCTGCGCGGAGGCTGCCCCGCTGGAGTTCGGCGGCGGCCGGAGCCCGGGGCCCCGGGAGGATGAGTCTCCGGTCGGCGCCGCTGGGGGAGGGCGGGAGGCGGGTCTGCAGGACTCGGGCTGCAGGCGCTCGGTGCTCGGAGCTCGGACTGCACGGTCTGAAGAAGCAGCTCGGGTAGGAGGGAGGGTCCGGGCTGTGCCGGGGCCTCTGCCCGGGAGAGACGCCGGCAGCCCCAGCCTCGCCAAGTTGCCAGGCGTCTCTAGCAACCCGCGAGAGTGGCGCCGCCGGCAGGGGAAGGCGTGCCGGGCTGTGACCCTGCGGCCGCGACCCTCTGGGCCAAGGAACTGGGAGGGGCGAGCCTGGGAACCAGGCTTAGCTACGCGGGAGCAGGGGGAAGTTAGGTCCAGCCCTAAAGCGCCTGGGTCCCGGTGGAGTAGCCAGGCTGGAGATGCAAACGTCTCGCTCCTTCTTCCCAGTTCTCCACCGTCTTCCGATTGAGTTCTGCAGAGCTGGGACCCCAGCCGGGCACCCTGGCCAGGGGGTGGTCCCCTTAGCTGGGAAGAAAGGGCTGTGGTGTGTGGCCTGGGGTGCATGCCCGTGCACACACGCGCCTCCCCCAGCGGGAACGTCCCGGGGAGAGACCGGGACTGGGGGCTCAGAGGTGTCTGGCATTTCCTCCCGGGTTTCCGGGGCTGGTTTCCTGGGCGTCTCTGAGCCCCAGGAAAGCTGACTTCAAACATTCGTAAAACTAAAAAAGGCGTCTGCGAATGCAGTCGCAAAGTAGTAATTAAGCAATTTGTTACCAATTAGCAATTAGGCAAATCCTTTAGCGCAGACGGGAGCTGACGCTTGTCTCTGGAGCTATTGGGTCGCGGGGGTTGCACACCCCTCCTTGCAACTTCCGAGCTGGAAGGCCAGGTGAGGAGCTTGGGGCCAGGTGTAGCGCGCAGACCTCCACTTCACCGCCAGGACTCTGGGCGCCGGGCCGCCCCCTGCCGGCTGCAGCCACGTCGGCTTCACTCGGAAACCCTGCTGCCCAGAGCACCCAGGCTGGATGGGCAGGGGAGGGTCCGGTCCGGGTATCCCTGGGGTCTTGGCAGGGGCTGGATCTGAACCCTGCTACGTCTGTCCCGCAGGCTCTGCGCTGCAGATTCAGTGCTACCAGTGTGAGGAGTTCCAGCTGAACAATGACTGCTCGTCCCCGGAGTTCATCGTGAACTGCACGGTGAACGTGCAGGACATGTGTCAGAAAGAAGTGATGGAGCAAAGCGCGGGTAAGAGCCTGCCGCTCCCTTCCCCTCCCCGCCTGGGCCGCTGTGAGCCAGGGAACCACTAAATTACAGGAAAAGGGGACTGACTTTGATTCATGCCTACACCCTGGTTATCACAGATTTACTCTCCCAGTGCTGGGAAAATGAAGAGTTCCAAGTTCCTTTAATCTCATTAGGCTTAATTACCAGGGCTTCTCCTCCAGGGACGCAGGCGGGGAAGTGCATTTAATGAGTTGCTCTCCTCTTTTTATTTACTCCTCTCGCCTCCCTCTGCCAAACTCGGATCCGGAGGCTGCAGAATATATGGATAACCAGCTCAGCTCCGACAGCTAGACAGGGCCCTGCGCGTGGTGTCAGCCTGAAATATGAAGCTAGTGGAAGTTCCCAGAGGTCAGAGCGTGAAAAATGGGTTATGTCATAGAGCCACCCCGTATTTCTCTGAAGAACACTACGGCGTCTTTCTTCAGTTTCACAGCTAGTGCATCACACTCCAGGCACAGATTGCCAAGATCTTTCGAAGGAATGTGGTGCCCAGCCCCCAAGGCTTAGTGGCTGGCTGGCTGGCTGGTGAGGAGAGGCTGGACTATATGTGAGGGGGAAAGAGGTCTTGGGAGAGGAAACCTCCTTGTTCACTCCTCCTTGTTCACTGACCAGTCTTCTCCCAGAGCTGGACTCCCCAGCACTCTTACCAGAAATCAAAGCCCCTCCAAGTGCAATTGGAGCTTCAGGGAAATGGGTGGAACTCTAGCGTCACTTCCAAAGTCAAACTCATAGACCAAAAAAAAAAAAAAAATATGCCATTTTAAGAATATTGAGAAAATGGGAAATAGCATCTTTTGGGAGGAGAACCCCCAAAGTCTCTAATTCAGGATTGATTCTGAAAAACTGACATGTAGCCTTGTTCAAATCCCTAAGAGCTTTAATAACATACATACCCAGGAAAGCTGCTGCTCCAGTGGTGGCCGGCCTGGACGAGTCCACCCCTCCCGGGAGAGGGTCTCTTCTCCGAGGGGGGTCATAGTAAGCCCATGGGGTGGGTGGTCATGTAGCCCCCCACAAAGGACAGTGGATTCCTCAGTTAACAGATGGCATCAGGCAGTTAGCACACTCTGCATTCACTAAGCTCCTCCCTGGAGCCTGACCTGTATCTCTGGGCGGCTCTCCCTGTTTTGAGGTAGAGCCGCCCAGAGAGTTAAGCAGAGGCCAACATTTCCCAGGTGCCTTTGCTGCTGGAGCCATACTGCATCTAAAGTGAGTTCCCTTACAGCAGCGGTTCTCCACCTATGGTTTGTGACTTCTTTGGGGGTCGAATGACCCTTTCACAAGGGTGGCCTAAGACCATCGGAAAACACAGATATTTACATTACGATTCATAACAGTAGCAAAATTCCAGTTATGAAGTATCAATGAAAATCATTTTCTGGTTGGGGGTCACCACAACATGAGGAGCTGTATTAAAGGGTCACACCATTAGGAAGGTTGAGAACCACTGCCCTACAGCATCCTGTGGTGAATGCTGCTGAGTGAACCAAAGCCTGCTCCTCTTTGGTTTACTGAACTGCACTGCCCACAGAGCCTGAAGGAGGGATTGAACCGTCAAATGACCTCCTTTTTAAAAACAATGACTTTATAGGGGGTGAAACGGGTTAATGAAATTATACAGATTTCCATAGCGCCTATTGTGGGGACCCCAGTCTTATGAGAGTTCCAGCTACTGCTCTGGGAGACATTTGTCCAGTGGGAGAAACCCAATTTCTGATTAGGTTGGAGGACTTAAAGAAAAGTATACAGGTTTCAAGTATACAGTTCTACAATACATCATCTTTGTATTGTATGTTTACCACCCCAAGTCAAATGTCCTTCCATCACCATTATACCCCCTTTATCTCCTATTCGCCGCACACACCCTTCCCTCTGGCAATCATCCGTTAAATGACCTCCTTAACCAAGTGGCAAATTACAGCAAGGGTTGTCCTTTTTAAGCCAGTTTTCCCTTCTGGGAAAGTAATGTCTTCTCGGAGAAGGGGCTGGAGATGCCTTGTGGCTACTGCAGCTATTGGGGAGCAGATGGCCGTCACTGTGCTATGATTTGGTGATGTGTGGTTTAAAAGTCCTTATGGTCCAGGTCTGGCTTCTTGCTGCCAAAATCCCTCTTCTGCGCAATCTGCAATGCAATTGCTCACAAGAATAACCTGTCCCGAGATAAGCCGTCTGCATTGCTTTGTCATACGGGATTCTGGCTATTGAAAAGGTAAAACAGAACAAAACTTAGTGATGAGCCTTTAGTCGAGATTGACAAAGATGGTTTCGACAAGCTGTTTCTTTTCTACACGTTTCATTCCTGAGCACTGTGCCTGAGCAAGAGTCACTGCCCTTCTGCCAGAGGCTGCTGTGATGAGAACCAGGGTCCCTCTGAACTCTGTTACGTTAGAATATGAACAGCTTCCTTCCCGCAGGAGGTTAGAGCCAGAAAAAAAAGGGCGCTGCACTGTGGACACGTTAGGAAGTTCAGAATCCTCGAGGCTTACCCGGGCATCGTGTTTTATAAACCTGGGACCTGGTGGAGATAAGGAGAAAGCTCTGAACCAAATTACTGCCCGAAGTGGTGTCTTTTCTCAAAGAGGAATTTCTTCCTCTCTAAAAGCACGCCGAAGATGAACACCACACATCATTTCAATGTGCTGTGTGTCATCAGCTCCATTCCCTTCGCCAAGCCACACTGTAAAAAAGGCCCAGCAGGCATTGTAACACCACTTAATCCACAGAAAACTGCAGCACAGACAGGGGCAGGTGCCTGGCCTGAAGTTGCTGTTGGCTCGGTCAAGATGATCACCTTATCTCCACACCAGGTTCCTCTGGCCGTGTGTCCTAGACCCGGGGGGACAGAGATGGAAGTGATGAGGTTGTCTCATTTGTGAAGGCTGAGAAACACACAGCTGATGGGTATGAAGGGAAAACCAGCTACGAGGGGAGGGATGGCAGTCCTGTGCACGTGGAAACAGCATTTCAGAGCCTAAATTCAATAGAAAGCAGACAGATACATGTTCCTGAATCAGAAGAGTGATGTCCAGGGGGGGCTGGTCATTCAAAGTCCTTCCATCTTCATCTCTAGGTAATTGTTAGAGACCAATCAGTTAAGTGACTATTAATTCTCCTCTTGTTGGCAGCCATGGAGAGCCAACCATTGCTGATTAAGTGACCGCAGCGTAGTACCATCATGGAGGGCTGTCTTCTGGGTGTGCCCTGGGCCTCAGCTCTACCCTCAGGCTCCGCGCTTTACTCGGAGGATTTCATTCGGTCTGGTGGTCAGTCCTCTTCGGAATCCCTTGTTTCCAGAGGTCAAAACCCACCAGCATTCAGTTCTACTGCAGGGCCAACTTCTCCAACCTGGAGGGAATACTGCCTGTTCCATGACGCTATTAGGAATCTAAGTCAGGATTTTTGTTTGTTTGATCAGTAACATGTATTGTGCTGAGAATCTTTGTGTGTCAGAGCTGAAAGGGCCCCGTGAATCACAGTAAAGGGTACACGTAGGAATCTTCGGGAACTTTTATTCAAGTCCACATGCCTGGGTCCTCCCCTGCCCCACCTGCCTCCCCCTCCTACCCAAGAAGCCAGTTCCCTAAGTCTGTGGTATAGCTGCCATCGGGTCTTCCATAAACTTCCCAAGCGACCCTGAGGTGCCCTAAGTTGTGAAGTGCTGATCTGGAGCAGACTTGAGTGTCCCAGGAGGAAAGCCAGGGCCAGAAAAGTTAGGCGTCCGATCCAAGTTCACCATCCAACTGTTACGAAAGGGCACCTGCTTCCTCAGCCCGCACCTTATACAGTAAAATATGCTGCCAGCTTCGCCTGCAAAGTTCAAGGAGGCAAAGTGCTCAAGACTCAGACAGCCCTCATGTCTGCCCGATTCACCTGAGCAGGCAGAGCGAACAAGCTGAGTGGACAGGCCACAAAGCGGGTATTGAAAGAATAGGAGAACCTAGCAAAGGATGTTTAGCTTGAGTGTTATGTGGACTGGCATTTTTCGTATGAAATACAGGAAAAAGCAGAGTTTTAAATGGGCTACGAGATTTTAATGAACCGAGCAAGTTTGACATTAAACAGTAATGAAAGACACACTCTTTCCAAAAAATACCAGCAATGCAATATGCCCAGGCATTCAGTTAGTCCTTTCTGGATTAAGTCTGCAAACTCAGCTCTTTGAGTTTTGAGACAGGTACATTTAGTTTTCAGTTGGGAGGTTCATTTAAAATTAACCTTTACCTGTTCCCCAGGATGCCATTCCTAACAGGGGGCTGAGATTTATTTTCCACCGCTCTGTCCCCTTGGCCATTTCTGGAGCAGTAACGCCCAGCTGTGGGGAAGGGACCTTTGGTTCTGCCTCTTCCATAGTCCTTACTAATTGATATTTAGATGTTTGCCTTGCTCTCACTAGCTCTACACATAATGAGTTAGCAACTCACCATCACCCTTGATAGTGACTTTTCTTGTGCTCTTGCTTTTTACTGCACTCTGAAAAAATATTCCACATATTGATTTTCATTTCAGAATAGGAGCTCCCCACCCCATTTGAATTGTTACAACCAGGGTGTAAAGAATGCAAATTTGCATTTGTTTGACAGCGCAATCTTGTAATTAGAGCTTTTCCTCTTGACTAGATACAGGGAAGGGGGCATAATTTAATTTTTATAGACTAGCCAATTTCTGCCCTTAGTAAAATATAGCTCTGTCAAGTGAGCAAAATGTTACAGGTTCTCCAAAACCTTATTTAAAAGTTAAATGCAGTATATTGAGAGAAAGTTCATGGTCTGAATCAGTAACCTAATCGATCTCTTCACCCATCCTCTGCAACATGCATTAATCTATTTGTCTGTTTTGCAATACAAGAGTTACTGATTTATATGCCATGTTGCATCTGCATTATGGTTGTATGAGCAATGGCGATTTTCCTTTTGGATTACTTAGTTGCTCATTCAGTTGGGCAGGGAGAGCTCCATGCCTTG